TAACACCCCGGCTAGGTCTGTACATCTTTTTCGGGCGGCGGGTCGCTGCGCATAGTAGTGACCGTGGCAAGTCTTTCGTAACCGCCGCGCGCGGTATTGTACAATGACTAGTTTGTTCGAGTAACTTACAAGTAAACATACAGAACGCGCAAAGTATAGAGAACGATAATGCGGAACAGGCCGACATCCATCCCTCCTTCTATTCGCGTCTCAAACGCTTTTTCATCCGCCCGTTCTAGCGTCCTACCGTTCAGCTTCTGCCACCCGACGGAGGCGAATTATAATACTTGTATTGTGCGTGACTTATCTGCTAATCGCCAAGCGTTACACTATGTATAAGTTCGCGTGTTAACGCGTGCGAGCGTGTGCACGTAATTTCACGCAGCGCGGCGCGCACGTGGCGCCTTCGCGAATGGCACTTCGGTACAGCGTACTTCGTCCATAAACACGTACAGATAAACACGACGTCGGATACGCAGGTTGCACCGTTTCGAGTGGGACGTCTCGCGGGCATATATGACTTTGTTCTATATGAAGTCGCCTCGGGGATTTGAGGATCGTCACCTTACGATCCTTTCTCATGGAGGAAGTGTGCCTTTGTTGCGTGCTCTTTATCACTTATACGAAACATCATTGTACATAAAAAAAAATGAATCTCATTGTACATAAAAAAACGACTTCGATCAAAAGATTTTTCTTTTTTTTTTGTTTTGAACGAACACCCATGCCGGAAGTAAAGAAATTAAAATGAGTCATACAGCTGTTCTGAAAGAAAGAGGAAATAACCTATCACTTTTGTTCCTTATCTGCACGCCAGATTCATTTATTGTCGAAGTAACGAGTAGGGCAGAAAAATGTAACAGCCTATTCCTCTCTTCCTTTTTTCGAGATGTATCGCTTAACGTGTACTAAAAGTATGACGCGCCGAGTCTATCTGTGCGCTAGAATCTCTTTGTAGTGTGACACTTTTTTTGTGCGATCTATCTATCCAAATAGCCTGAATTCATCACGGCTATTCACGTACAAAATATATTTTTTTTCTCGCTTTCGAAAATAATTTAAACTTAGCTCAACTCTTACAGTGCCAGAACACGCTAATCACGTCATAAAAAGGAAAAACGTAAAAAGAACGGAATAAAAATCTAGAAAAAACAAAAGGATACGTGCAAATCGTCTATCACTGGGTCTCTCGATCGCGTTTTATGTGCTCGCGTGCATTGGAACAAATGGAAAAGAAAAAGGAAACAGTTAATGGCACAACAGTTTCACGGGACCGCTGCGCAAGCGGTAACTCTATTCCCGATACTCTCCGCGTAATCTGAGCGCGATGTCGATGATCAATCTCTCTCAAAAGGAAAAGGAAATAAAATACACCTAACGTAAGTGCATCCATACGTCGCACACTCATACGCCGGTATTTACAGCGAATAGATAATGAACAAACGGCGCCATCGAAATCGCGCGATTCCACGAACCACCTGTTTGACAGCCCGATTTCAGGATTAATACGCAATGAGAAATCTTCCCGTATATAAAAAAGAAAGAAAAATAAGCGGAGATTAAAAATTTTGGGAAAATTATATAAATAAAAAGTTCTACTTGGAACTCACTTCCGCACGAAAGGATTAATGGAGGACGACAAGCCGCGATTCTCATCCAGGAAACCGGACTTCACTGTCTCATCGTTTGTACTGCATACTCTAAGGCACTTTGAGAACGCGGAATGGAAACAAGCAAATGTAGGACGTTCGTCCGCGGATCACACTAATGCGAAACTTCAACAGGCGTACCCGATCGGCACCGGCACGCCGGGGCAGCCGCCCTCCTGGTGCTTCGTCAACAGCGACATCCTGCTGAAGGTCTTGCTGCACGAGTCGCAGGAGTACTTCTTCACGTCGCTATGAGTCTGCAGATGGGCCCTGAGATTACTCCTGTCGGCAAACGCGCGGTTGCAATGCTGACAGCTGAACGGCTTCTCGCCGGTGTGCGTACGGATGTGACCCTGGAGTAGCCACGGCCTGGAGAACGCCTTGCCGCAGAGTGTACACTTGCACGGCAACGTGTGCGTCCTGATGTGCATCTTCAGCGCCCCCAGGCTGACGTACACCTTGTTGCAGGACTTGCACGAGAAGGACTTCTTCGGCTGGCCTTGAGCAGCCGCGCAATGAAACTGTCGATGTTTAGTCAAGCCGGAGAACGTGGAGTACGACTTGCCGCAGTCCGGGCACTGATACCTCGGCGACGTCGAGTTCGACGACATGTTCGCCGTGTCGTTCGACTCGCTCTTCTCGATCTTCATGTCCACGATCTTCATGTTCACGATCGTGGAGCCGGCGGTGGTGCTGCCCGCGGACGACCTGCCACTGTCGCTGCCAGGTGACGAGAGATCTTCCGGCGTGATGGGCGGAGGTGACCGCAGAGACCCGGAACCCACGGAACTCGTGGGCGACAGGCCGCAATGGTCCAGGCTGGTCCAATGAGGGTAGCTCCTGGCGATGGGTCGTTGGATCGTCGAGCAGGTTAACGCACTATGAGGTGGTGGTGAGACCGATGGGTGAGATTCCGGGGGAGAGTGCGGGTACGGCGGGACAGAGTACGACGGATACAATTCCGTTCCGGGATGGTGATAGCGGTAGGTGGAGGGCGAGTACGGCAGGTGATAATGCGGCGGGTAGAGCGGAGCTCCTCGCACCCAGACTGTAGGGTAATGGGCCAACGACTCCACCGGGGTGTTCAGATTCAACGGCTCCATGGGCCCCTTGGTCGCTATGAAGTGCAGCGGCACAGACGTCGCCGTCACGCCCGCCGTCGGAGTCGTTGACGAGTTGTGTTGGATCACCTCGATGCGGCCCTTCTTCGGGTGGATGGGCGCGATCCCCGGTGGCGGCGTCGGAGAGACAGTTTTGATCGGATAGGGGTGATGATAGCCTTGGTGGTAGCTCTGCGGTGGGTGCTGCACGTGGCATATCGAGTTGATTGGCGAAGGCGGCTGTGTCGTTGGAGGTGGAGACGACGACGGCTTGACGACGATCGGAAACGGTGTTCTTGACGCGCGTTGTTCTGGTTCTTGTCGTGGTGGTGTTAACGGTGGTGGTAGCGGTGGCAGTGGTTGCTGTTCTTGTGGTGATTGTTGCTGCTGTGCTTCTTGTTGCGGTTTGTGATAGTGTTGGTAATGACGGTCCGCCGTTTTGCTGAGATCCTCGGGCTTTGTACTGAGGTTCTCGGGCTCGGGGATATCGTCCACGACTTCGACCATCTCTTCTGTAACAACAAAGAGATACATTTTTGGAGATACCGATGACGCATAATGATTAGTGGTTAGCGCTATTCGACCATAATCCTACACTTGTTGACACTTCTCTCCTCCCTGCATTCGCTTACGAAATATTTGTACAGTCTGTTAACATTTCTCGACTTTCTTTCTGTTATTTTCCCTAAAAAATGCGTCTCACATTTTCTGCGCGATTTTCGTATTTTTATTTAAAGCGCGAGTACATGTGGAGATTTGTATTTCCGCACATGTGTGTAATGTGCGAAAGTACTCTACCCGTGCATGCACACATGCCTTTCATCGTTCTTGTTTTATAAAGTTATTAATCATTCTTTATGACTTAAAGAGACAGTGCTAAGTAAATAAATATGATGCTACAAGTTTTGCATAATTTTAATTTTAGTTCGGTTTCCAAAAGTAAGAGTTATTCGAAACAATATTGACATCGTAAACCGCGGAATATTCACTATCGGGATGAAAACAAAATGTAAGGCTCATTGAATACGACGAGAATGCAGGTGATTTCGTTTGACGCTGAGGAAAAGTTTACGTTCAATAAAATTAGAACGTCGCAATGTGTACCTTCGATCGCTGTTGACTCCTCCTTGTATGTTAAGAAGTGCACCGGCCGCTTTTTGAGCGGGCAATGACTGTAACTATTGTCCTTCACGAAGCTATACGGCACCTGCTCGAGAAGCATCTTGAACTGTCTGATATCCACTCCTCGCAAATACTACAACGTACCGCGAATGCACTCGGTTATACAACGTTAATCCAAATAGCTGCGGCAACCGAGAGAAACGTCCGCCCTGATCACTGAATCGAACTTTTTCTCTTTCTCTCTCTCTCTCTCTCTCTCTCTCTCTCTCTCTCTCCCTTGCGAGACAATTCCTGTGCGACGACGTCACTGCACTGTTATCTCACACATAAGTCCGGAATCCAGACGTGTCTTCACTTTGAGTCCGCGATCAAAATAAACAGCACTTTAATCGTTCGGCAAGGTGAAAAGAAGACCGGTCCTCGCTACTCGCTCGTTCGAACTGAACTGATTAGTCGAGCGGCGCGGGTATACCACAGAACTCGACTGAAACACGAAGGGGGAACGTAGGGATACGCTCGCACGGTGTCTCCCTCCGAACGCTTCGGCTATAAGCCAGTCTCTGACTGGCTGGTAGGTGCGCCAGAACGTTTTATAATATATCCCCTACCCCAGGCAGACGCAGGTGGCCCGCACGTGTTACCGGACCAATGCGGGTCCATGGGCCCCGCGCTGCACTACAGTAGTAGGGCGCTTGGTCACGGGTCGTCGTCCAATCAGCGTTCCGGCATCTGTCCCCCCAGTTAGCACGGTCCCCACTGCAGTGCGGCAGGAGTCGACAGGACGCGCAGGACGTCTGTGAGTGCAAGCCGAGCGTCCAACGGCACTCCACGTGCTCTCCTTCCTTCTTTATCGTTTCCCTGCCGCGCGACTCATCGTTTCTTTCTCGCTCCCCCTTTCTCCGTGCGCGCGCTCCTCTATATACATATATATGCGTATATATATTGTAATATGTGTGTGTGTGTATATATATATATGTGTGTGTGTGTGCTGCGCACAGAGCAGATGCTGTGGCCTCTCTTAGGGGACCCCCTTCTACACGCACCGTGTGCACACACGTGCACATATACAATCGGAAACTCGCGCGGTCACACGCGTATGTGTGGGTACATTAGACCCCCACCGCCGAGGAGAGCGCGGCGACTCATTCGAATTTCCATTCGGCCTACCTGAACTCAACGCCGTTCCTTCTCTCGCTCTTTGTGCAGGAGTAGTCGTCGTCGTGTCGGTTGTTTTGTGCTCCTGCCCGTGTGGAGGAGTTATATTCTCGCGTATGTGTCCCGCGCGCGATATGTGTGAGAGAGAGGCGCGCGTGCATGTACGTACGGGCGCATAGAGGGCAATCTGCCTCTCGCGTTCCCCTTCTGAATTTAACCCCTCTTCCGCGTCGGCCCACGGTGCCAGTTCCGGTGCCAGTAACGGTCGTGTCGCGTGCCACAACATCGCCCACGCGTGCTGGGACCTACACACACGCGTGCGCTCGCGTTCAAAAGCTCATGCGTAGTCGCGAAGCGAAGCGAAGCCGCGGCGCTCCGTTCTCCCCGCGCGCGAGCGTTTGCCACTTTTGCGAGAAGGATGATGCAGGCGATGATATCGTTTTCACGGAGAGTTTGTCACGTATGGTCTGTAAATCAAAACGCTTACCAAAGCGAGATATTTGCGCTGGATGTCCGCGACGAAGATATACAACGAAGGTTCAGTGACTTTCAAGCGCGAGCTCTGGAAAAACAGCCGTGAAATGCTGAGGCGATCCCTCGCGATCGTCGTGCACGCACTTAGACCCCGTGTTGTCACCGGGATTACTCGGATCGAGCGATCGTGAAACGACAGACGGGATCGGGAGACCGACACGCGGCTGGCGGTTTGCCGCGTCGTAAGAAATCGAAGCGATTTTTGACTGAAAGTCCCTTGTACTTGCTGTCGTAAACAGCTCGTTCGCATAACACTTCATTCTTCGGGCTAGTTTGTCGGGCGAGCCTCGGCCGATCATTTCGTCGTATTATTTCGTAATAAAGGGGAACCACAAGCGCACAAACGAGAGACGGAGAGAGGGAGATGCGAACGAGTGAGACGAAGACAGCGTCGGGCGCGCATGCCGCGGCAGAATTTTGTGATAAAATCTCGGTAACCTGATACTCCTCGAGGGCGCGTGTTATTAACCGTTTGTCTCGGCACGACGACGGTCCTCGCTACCGTCGTACATACATATACGTTTGCGTTACAATATCAATATTGCGCGTGGTCTACGCGCGATGCGTTTCGTCGCGTTCGGAATTAGCGGCAATAAGTTTACTGGAATTGTAATCCGTTAATTCTTCATTAGGAGCGTCATAGAGGGTCTGTCGATACAGTTTAAAGGCTCTGTATCATTAATCAAAGACACATCGTCTCTTTTGGTTTTTGTGACATATACGAAAAAAATCCTATAATAAAAAGTATAGAATTTCGCAACCGAGAAATAGATCGAAGTTCTGTAATAATTCACTGTCCTTTCATTTCATGTATTATTTATACTTTGGGAACTGAAACGTACTATTAAAACACTTGCTATGTTTCTAGATTTATTATGTTCCTTAGCATAGAAGCATATTTGATAAATCCGAGCAACAGTTTTATAAATTAGCGAGTACCGACTACTGCATATTTTTCCTTCACTGAGAAAAAAATATAGTTGCCTTTGGCGTCAATTATACGCTTTTGTGATTTTAACCAGAAAAATAATTAAAAGAACCATTGTTTTAGTAAGTGTTATTAGAAATATGGTTCTTCTAATTATTTTCCTGGTTAAAATCACAAAAAAGTATAGTTGACGCCAAAAACAATTTTTTTTTCTCAGTGTTGTACATAATATGTATTTTTTATGTTACACGTACTTTTGAAAAAAATGTAAAAAGGATAAAATGCAGCGCAGCGTGCGAGACTTCGTTTCGAGGCATGAATAGCGTGAAACATTCAATGATTGACATTCCCTTTAGTCATTGGCACTCTAGGAAAGCCAGATTTTCCTCGCGAGTTAAACTTCTCGCCTGCACTCCACGATTCTACAAAAAGAGATCTTCACGACCACTTACGTAATTATTATACACTTTCATTATAGAAATAGGCGTAAGGAAGATGCCGATAATTGGCGTTTTACCTTATTCCTCCGTGAATTTCGCCCCGCTAATTGAATATCGATTACTCGGTGTCAAAGGCCCGATCATTATCGTTACGCGCGCGCACGCTCCCGACGTATTGACTGAAACGATCTAGTAGGCGGCTGTACGCACCGCGAATTTATACGATCGTTAGCAGCGACAGGGCTCGATTCGCCGGCCGATAAGCCCCGGCACGATCCCGAGAGGAACTCTCGGCCTGGCGGCGGCCGCCGCCGCGAATCACTCCTTGTTGTGCTCTCCATTCCCTTCCCCACCTCTCCCCGTTCCTCCTTGCTCGCAACGTCACGTGTATATCGAGTGCGTGCCGATGCGGCACGCATGCCGACACCGCGGCCGATCAAAGGCACACGCATTACACCGACTGCTCCGACTTCGGGCAGATCGCGATGACCGTTAACACGCGAGAACTACATTGTGTCTTTCGGCACCTTTCCAATGACCCCGCATAGATCTCTCCTCTACCTGCCGTGCCGCGTTAAATTAAAAACCGCGATTCTCTCTCCCTCCCTCTCTCTCTTTCTCTCTCTCTCTCTCTCTCTCTCTCTCTCTCTCTCTCTCTCTCTCTCTCTC